CACAAGTAGCAAATCCACACTCAGAACACCAACTGGAAACATGGACGAAACCTTGACAAACAGAACCCCTTGGGTCTCATTGACAGGACATTTTTTACATCAAACTGACTGAAAAACACTGCAAAAGACAGCCATTTATGAAGACAGGACTAATCACATTGACAAGATACAGTTGGAGAGGGTAGTAAAAGACACAAGGGCAGCATGGTGATAACTCACAGGTGCAAAGAATCAGGACAGGTTAAACAATCAAAAAAAGGTGGGAAAACACAAAGACAGAAAGTGAAACAAGAAAAGACAGTTTACACAAACACAAAGATCATGACAGATATAACGGCCGTGTCTCAATTCAGGGGCTGCACCCTTCGGAGGCTGCATTTGTAGACCGCATACGTCACTTCTGCCGAAAGAAGGCTGTCCCAATTTTAAAAAAAGACGAGACTCCTCCGAATGCGGCCCACGAATGCGGCCTTATTTTCCCGGATTTGAAGGATACATCTGATGTATCCTTCGCGGTCTACCATATCCCAGGGTGCAATGCGCGCAGGGAAGAGTGAGTTTTTTTCAAATGAAATGGCGGTCCGGTCTCCCCAGCAGAGTGGATTTAAAAGCAGCAGCAAGCGGAGGAATCACTAATAAATGTGAGTATTGGGTTTTAACTTACTTTAAATTAACTAACGACACACGTCAAACCCAAGGGGCATTAAAACGTACATTTTCGTTAAATAATACGGATAAATATGTGACGTTAATGACGCTAACTAGCTAGCTGGACGTACTGCACTTATTTTGAATTCAATTCAGAAGTTTACTAAAGTCATACAGAGATCTTGGCTCTGTTATAGATAAGTTATACTTTATATTACATAAATAGACCGAAGTGAAAACATTTACACCGGTATAGCCTACAGTACGGTGGGATTTATAAAATGCTACCCTGACGTGTAGCTGCTGTTTGCTTTATTTATTTCTCTGACATTTTGCAATGTTTTACTGTTTATTAACTTTGGGACAACATTACAACCTTTTTATTCAGCTCATGCTGCTTTGAGGTAGGGCTAAAAGAAAAGCCTATTTTCAATATTTCCACCAGATTTGATCATCTTTTATTTAGGTTAAAGTTTATTTAAAGTGGACCTATCATGCTATATTTGAATAATATAGTGTAGGACCATACCTATATAAGGCATATTTATACTTTTTCTTTTTCAAAATACCAAACAGATCATGCATTTTAGCCATGCCTCATTTTGCTCAATTTGACCATTTTTAGCTCTGTTTTAGCAAGGGCAGATTCTGTGAGAACAGCACCACCTACAGGCCTGGCATATGTACTACAACGTCTCGAACGCTTTCGAACGGCAATGGCCGTGGCTGTCTCCTCCTGATTGGTGGAGTTGGCCCAATAGCCGTAGCGCCACTGTCCTGACGTCAGGACAGTGTTCAAATCTGGATCAGTTTTTATCAGATCCGTTGCAGACCCTTTTTTAGAGATTTGGGTATGGAGGAAAATAGAGAGGGTTGTGTTTTCTGACACTTGGTGAGTTCCCTGGAACACCGGGGACACATATTCATGTATAAAAGACGTACAAAAGTGCATTTTGCATGATAGGTCCCCTTTAATTTATCCTAATCCCATAATAATAATAAGACGATCACAAATAGACAGCAGCCTTTTGCTTGATTTTAGTTTTTGCAGTGCTGTCAAAGGAATGCAAGTGTGACTGTCATTTCATCTCTTTAGTTTTAAAAAAACCAAAACAGTACATCATTTTTAAATGATCCTTTAGGGAGTGTTTGTCTGAAATGCTTAGAGTTACATTTTGCAATAATACTTTTGCAACCCTGTGTTTAATATGATTAATTCACTTTTTAATTTTTCTCTTGTTTTTCTCTGTAATTAGGACAATTCTGGAGAAATGGATCTGCTGGAGAAGGACCCCTAATCTGAAAAGTGCCCAGCGGATCATCAGGACAGAGCTGCCATCCACCTGGACACCCCGAGGTGCTGGAAAAAGCTAAACGGCGATCAGGAACATCCTCCACCCAGACTTCTGCTTTCTGCCGTCCTACAGACAGGTGTCTTAGTTTCAGAATTTGATTTTGTATGTGTCTTTTCTTTTAATAGATATATAGCTTGAGTCTGTCTGATTCCCCAAACAGCTGCTTCTATATACTTGCTGCCCATACAAATAAACAACTCGATAAACACACTTTTGCTGATATTTGTTTTACTACTGGTGATGTTAAATAACATGATTGATTTCCTCTGTCTCAATGATGAAAGTTATAATAATAGAAGACATGAAGCTGCAGAGAGAGGATGGATATATTCTTACCTCTACTTTTTGATCAGATGAAAATACAAAATTAAATTAAAATAGTAATTGTTAAACACATTGTTTATTTCATTTACTGAGGTTAAGTTCAGTTTAATTTTATTAATACAAAAAATAGGTAATAGAAAATGTTTAATTGTGTATTTCAGCAGAGCAGGGGGTCACGGTGCTGCTGGACCTGGAGGTGCTGACCTGTGTCAGTGGGACATCATCTGGGCTGGTTTAGGGGAAGAAGGAGAATATAAACTGTTATGATCACAGCTATTAAGATTAGAACACTAATATTGTTAAGAATCAATCTATACAACATGCTTTTGTTCATTTAAAAAAACATATTGTTTTATTAGTACAGAAAAATTAAGACTTTAAATTTTAAATATGAAATAATATGATTAAATTACATCAGCTATATATATAATTTACTTGTTAACTTACTAATGTAACATTACTGGGGGCTAAGGGAACAGCTTCATCTTATTTACCTGGTCATGGTCCTCTTTATTTCATCGCCGTCGGTGATCTCCAAAAAATGGTTAAAGTAAAAAAGTAACAGTAAAGTTTCTGGATCCTTTTCAGCTGAGTTAGCTTGTAAGCTAATGTGCTAGCAGGCTGCTGAAGCAGCGCAACCGAACAGCGTGTATCACGTGACGTAAATACGAAGCACTTCGTAGGCTAGACTCCTCTCTCCTCTCTCCTCTCTCTTCTCTCCTCTCTCCTCTCTCCTCTCTCCTCTCTCCTCTCTCCTCTCTCCTCTCTCCTCTACATCAGTGTACCCTCGGTTATAGCTCCTCCAGAGAGACTCCTCTCTCCTCTAAATCAGTGTATCCTCGGTTACGGCTCCTCCAGACAGCCTCCTCGATAATCGATCCTCGACGAGCCTTTAGAGCAGGGGTGGGGAACCTCCGGCCTCCGGGCCGTATACGGAATGCGAGACCATTTGGTACGGCCCTCGAGGTAATTTATAAACACACGCAAAAAATTAAAAAAATTAAAAAATCTAGACCGCAAAATAATTAAAGGACACCTATCATGCTATATTTAAATGATATATTGTAAGGCCATACCTATATAAGGTATATTTATACGTTTCTGTTTTCAAAATACCAAACAGATCAATCAATTAATCCCGAGCCCTGACTACAGGCATTATGGAGAAGGAGTAGCATTTCGGAAACCGGCACATCACCTTTTCTGAATTTCGGCATCAACATAGTACGAAGGTATTTGTTGACGTGACACTATTACTTACAAGCATAAAACTCAAACTATCTAAGAATATGTAGTACCATGTACATAACACAGATGGAGGGGACATTTAGCATAAACAATTTAGTAGGTTGGATCAGTATTTAGGGATTTGTCAGTGTTACACTTTTTGACATTTTTACTTTTTTTGAAAGTTTCAGGACATAAGCCACAGAAATAACGAATTGTCCTATTTTCCGTGTGTTTATTTGTACAGATATTGTTCGTTCCCGAATTATGCTAGTGGAGCAATGTCCACCTGTGAATCATCAGGAGATTGAGAACACTCTGCATGACCACAACTATGAGGGAACTACTCAAATGGTCTCTATAGTTGTCAAACAGGAGGTGTGTTTGTATTCAAAAAAAAAATCAATACTGTTTTTTTTCCATCTATGTTGTCTTGTTGAAATTAAAAAAAATAATTCCTCTGCCGCAGGATTCCTATGATTCTCAGTCGCATTCCGTCGTTAAGCAAGAGGAAGTGGAGCAAATGGTGGTCTGCGGGCAAGTTTCAGGTGATCAACCAGGTAAAGAGTTAAAACTAACTGTTATTTTCTCAACTAGTTTGATAGTTTGTAAGATTGACAGAATTTGTCAAGATTTGCTCCTTACCATTCTCCCTTTATTCTTCTAATGTTTCCTCTAAAATGTCTCTTTCACTGATAGATTCACCCCAGGCCTCTGCTTGTGCAACTGAAATTGGAGGGCGTCTCGTTAACCAGGAAAGTTCAACTGGAGAAATACCCACGCCCCAAGAAGAGACCCCAGTAGCCCAAGAACAACCCTGTTTGGGAAGTAATAGTGGTCTAGAAGGAGCTCAGAATCAATTGCCTGAATTGGTGCCTTCAATAGTCTTCTCACTTGCTTCCATAAACAACAACATAGAAGAAGATTCTGAAGTAAGTCAAAACATATCAGCAACGCAGGGAGAACTCATAAAAACTGGAAAGCCCCAATCGGTGGTTGCTCATAATGAATCCGAGGTTGAACCTCTTGAAAAGAGCAACCATTAGTGGTCAACCTACAATGTCCAAAGGAGGGCAAAACAACAGTAAATGAACAGGCTGATGTTACTCCTAAAACTACAGGGAAACGAATACGTGCACCACGTAAACAACTCAATAAAGGAAAAGCATTTGAAGAATCAAAAAGTGGCGAGGCTGAGGGTAGTTCCCAGCCTGAGTTGCCAGGGCCACGTAGAAGAGGACGTCCGCCAAAGCAAGCCAAAAATCAGCAACAGCCTATGAAGGAAAATGGTTCTCCGACTTTTTCAGTACCATCTGTAGGTAAAAGATGTTCCTCTAGAAAGGGTAAAACCTCTAAACTTCAACAACTCTCCATGGAAAATGAAAAAATCTCGATTCAAACTCCATTCACTGAATCTTTATCTTCAATTGAAACATTATACCCTCCTGAAGATCAGCCCAGAGAACGTCGTAGCTCTGTAACTCTTCAGGATGCAATGCTATTAGTTGAAGCTATGAATCAGTCAACAGTGGATATGGCAGCACCAGCTAAGACCCAGAGTGCTTCTCATGTGGGCATCCTACAAACTGTGGACGAGGTCGCAGCAGAGCAACAGACACCACCGCTTCCTATTGAAACATGTAAAGCTGCATGCAAGCTGGCTGTTACAGAGCTCTCCACAAAGGACCAATCAACAATAGAGAAACACAATGACTCTCCTGTGAATACTGATATAACTCCGACCAATGAGCTTCAGTCCAACATCAACTTTGTCCTACCAAAACAACAGCATATAGTAATTCCATCTACACCTACTATATCTTCAATTCCCTTAACACATGTTGCGGTTCAAAGCATTATGCGGGCACTTCAACAGCAATCTTCTGCTTCTCCGGTAACATCAGTAGCAACCAGCAAAACGATCAAGTCAGTCTCTCGTAAAATAATTGCCATGCCAAGATCATTATCCTTCTTAAAACCTCCTAAAATAGGAGCACCATCTCCCTCCCAGCCTCCTACTGTTGTGTCAACAGTTGTTGCTGCACAGAAGAAGAGTATACTTCCAGACTCCTTAACTGCCGGCTTGCTTCTCGGAACCCCTTTTAAAGACTCTGTTCCTCAGACAACAGTAGACGCTGCGTCCGTGAAATTGGTTTCTGCTGACCTTTCACAGTCAACCACAACCGCAAAAGACTCATTGTCAGGGCCAACACAACAACCTCAATTCACAATAATAATTCCAAGAGAAGTGTCAGCTGTGGCGTCAAGGCTGCTTCATTCACAGACCATCATTCCGAAAACCAAGCAAGATACAGCCAAATCAGATGCTCTTGTTACACTGTCATCGCCCGATTTGATTTCACCTTCACAGGAGTTAAGGATTACTGTGAATCCACAAATTGCTTCAGATGAAGACACCAAAGTGTTGTTTCAAAACAAGAGTGAAACATCGGAACCTATTTTAGAATATCCCCAACAAATAGACTCCGTTTCTGAGCTAATAAAAGCACCTACAGAAAACATTCCCAGTTTAAACGCATCAGAGGGGCCAGTGCCTACCTCTGTGCCTCCAGTGATAACGCAAAAAACTGTTGCACAGAAACTCTCTGCCGTGGTCAGATTAACCAGGCTCTCATTTCCAATATCAGCCAAAGAAGCAGTGAATGTCTCTAGACTGCCTACAGATGGATCTTCTGAAAACTTGAAAGAAGGTATCACAAAAGAGAAACCATCATCTGTGGTTATGTCAACGCAGCCATCAAAGACGCTTGTGTCATCCACTGAGTTATGTCCCGGATTAAAAGAAACTCCTGTTGTTCTGCCTGTGAATATCTCTCAGATGGCAGAAAAGCCCAAAGGTATTCAAGAGAAGGCATCATTATCCTCTGAAGGCAGAACACCTTCCGAGGTGTCAAGACCAGACTTTGAGAACTCAACATTGGCCCCCAATACAACACCTACAGAAAATAAATCATCGGCTGACATCATGCATCTAACTCCAATCGCCACCGAGGACATGTCAACTCCTCATTCATGGATGACTAAAGCCCAGTTCCTTGCACAGCTGGCAGTGACACCTGTTACGAAAGACCCAACAAAGGTATGTTAAGAGTTATCACTCGTTTGTCGGTTTATCAAATCCATTGTCTCAAGGATAAAGTACTATTACTAATTCTACATGTTCGGAAGAACGCCTTCCATGGGAAATAATAATTAACCAGGCTGTAATGGTGTTGATTGTTTGGGCATCGGTCTGTCATAATAATTAAATTATTGACCTGTCTTCAGACATATGGTCATGATCTCATTCATTTTCCTGTTATCTACTCATTGTGCAATATATGATAATCACATCAATCATTTTTACCTTATCGACTTACTGTACAATCTGATCATATGACCTCAATCATTGTTATATTAACAAGTAATTTAACGATATATGGATACAACCTTGATCATTTTTGGCGCCTTATTTGTGTATGTCAATGACAAATATGTTCCAAGCACCCATGACAAATCTGGGCTGGGCTAAGCCCCCAATGTTTCAAGCTCCTAACTACGCCCCTTGTATTACTCGTGAAATGTTGGGTGTGAATGGTAACATTGGTGTTTATTCACTGGCCTGAAATGTTCCTCACAATGGCCTTGGATGTTTTGGGAGCACCTTAATATATTTCTTGGCTACTCTTGCAACATTTTGCTAAATTTCTTTCTTTATCTTTCCTTTTTATTATAGGCTTCCTCTGAGGACTCCATGGATGCCACAGCTTCCTCTGAAGACACCATAACTGGTGACAAGAAAAGGTTCCACAACAAATCTATTTTGGACAAGCTCCAAAGTCATCTCAAAACTCGCTTGCAAACTCAAAGGTCTAAAATGAATCCATGCAAAGAAACAGAGACCAGCGCTATAAGGCCTATAAATCCTAGATTAAAAAATGACAGCCCAGCCAATGAAAACACAACAAAAAAAATCAATTTTCCTGATACCAAAAGACTCAGGATTGGTTAAAGATGTTACATCTCCAGCCAGGAAAGCTGTTCACCCTGTTCGTTTTATTCCCAAGAGATCTGGACAATCTGGAGCTAGTGTTGGATCCAAGAGGACTTTTAGTGATCCACCGGTCAGTTCTAAGAGGTTTAAGGCTACTAGAGAGTCCACTCCTTTGACTCGCCGGTCTACAGGTGTAGATGTTGGCTCCACAACTAAAAGATCCACTTCTCTGTATCCTAGGATGTCTAGCTTTACTTTAACTAGCTCTAAAACGGATAAATCAACTTCCATGGGTCCTAGAAAATCTATCTCAATTAAAGAAATTGCTAGCCCTAAAAACAGAAAATCAGCTTCTGTCAGCCCTAGGAGGTCTAGCTTAAGTAAACAAAGTGCTAGCCCTAAAAACAGAAAATCAGCTTCTGTCAGCCCTAGGAAGTCTAGCTTAAGTAAACAAAGTGCTAGCTCTAAAACAGATAAATCCACTTCCATGGGTCCTAGAAAATCTATCTCAATTAAAGAAAGTGCTACCCCTAAAAACAGAAAATCAACTTCTGTCAGCCCTAGGAAGTCTAGCTTAAGTAAACAAAGTGCTAGCCCTAAAAACAGAAAATCAACTTCTGTCAGCCCTAGGAAGTCTAGCTTAAGTAAACAAAGTGCTAGCTCTAAGGCGCCGTTTACACGAGGAGAAAACGGCTTGTATCTGCATAGTTTCGCGTGCGTATAGCCCTATTATTTAGACGAGGCCGATAGAAACTGACCACACAAACGATAACGGGTCCCAAGGTGGATAGATTTGCAAACGAAACGCTCTGGGGGGTCAACCGAGTCCGTTTAATCGCCTCTATACGAATATTGCCTGAAAAAATAACGACAGCCCCGCCTCTTCGCACCTCTTCCCACCTCTCCCCCGCCTCATTGCTGATTTGTTTCTACAACAACAACAACAAGAATGGCGGATCACAGGGTTGCTGTTGTGCTCCAGACGCTACTGACCATGATTAATATGTTAGTGCAGAACTAGCAGTTGGTGGGACAATTTTGTCAATGGCGTTGTCGTGGACGATGAATGGAGGGAGAACTTCCGCATGTCCAAAGCCTCTGTCGTTGCCCTGACTGAAGAACTGCGCCCATATATCGAGAAGAAAACTACAAACATGAGGGCGCCAATTGATCCACTGAAAAGGGTTGCTGCGGTTCTTTATTACCTGAGCGACGAGGGAAGGCTACGGAAGACTGCTAACGCCTTCGGAGTTTCCCGCCCGTCTTTGTCCCTCATTATTAGGGAGACATGCAGAGCGATCACCATCCACCTGGGTCCAAAATACATCAAGCTGCCTTTTACTGAGCCCGAGACCCCGGATCTGGTTGAGGGGTTCCATTGTACACATGGCATGCCACAATGTTTAGGAGCAGTGGACGGAACCCACATCGAAATCAAGCAGCCATCTAACGACTCCACTAGTTACATCAACAGGAAAGGAAAATATTCCTTTAATGTACAGGCTGTCTGTGATTACAGGTACCGATTCATGGATGTCGTGGTAAAGTGGCCTGGGAGTGTGCATGATGCACGGGTCTTTGCTAATTCCAAGCTAAACATGTACTTAAAAACTGGAAAGATCCCTGCTCTGAAAAAACAGATTGTGGACGAAGAGGAGGCCATACCATGTATGTACATAGACTGTACATTTTTTTTAAAGGTGTTTATTAAGATGTGATAAACATTCTTTGTTACATTCCCTGTCCTCACTGTGCAGCTCCTTCAGCGACAGGCTGCTGTACAATATTCATATACCTGGCACAGCCCCACCTAGTGTCAGCAGAAAGTATTACACATAATGATTACAAAAAATGGAAAGAGATGCAAAAAAAGAAATAAAAAAATATATAAAATATATTTTAAGGTCATGTTTAATCATCTGATTCGTCTGTGCATTGCTGTTTTAGTCTGTGTTCTTCTAATTAGTGTCTAGAGTGCCGTTTTGAGCCATGTGGGACAAAACCTGATCATGCCCCACCCTTTCACTGTCAAAGTGAACGGTGACTGTAAAAACTACACTGCGCATGCTCAGAGTATTTTTCAATGTAATGTGTGTGGCAAAAAAAAAAACACCATAGGGGCACAGAGCTGCCATCCCCACCATACGTCATCTCACATCATTCAGAGCTGATTGGCTGTAAGTACGTGTGCCGCGAAAAGTGTGGTGTGTGAAGAGCATGGATGTATAATAAGAGGAGACGAGAGCTGCAGTGACGCGTCCTAAAACCAGGAAGTAAGCTGCAAAAAAGCAATGAGGTTTCTCTATAGGATTTTAGAAAATAGCTTGAAATAAGATCTGTGGGAAACGTACCTGTTAGATAAATGCACGTTTTGTTCAGCCGGATAATATCCACATGTCTACCCTACTTTTATAATTTTCGAATCATAAATCTATCGATTAGATTTATGATAGACTTTTGAAACTACAAGATGATAAGGAGGACTTTTACAAAAAAGTAATAGAAATGTTTGTCCAGAAGGATAGGCAAATGGACTTCATCTTCAAGTCAAGGTAAGACCGCAATTTTTTGAAAATGGGATCTTACTTAGAGAGAACAATTCAATATTTAAACGATCAAATTACATTTTTTGGGTATCCTTTTGTTGAACTGTCTGTTTAAAATTAATCGAAGCATCAGACAAAAAAAGCTTTTGAAAATAATATTATATTTTGGTTTAGGTCAAAATATAATATTTGTAAACCTGAAGAGTCAGTGCCAGTGCCTCACCAGCCATGAACCTCACTGCACGTCACTGCAGAAGCTTATATATAGACATCTACGTTTTTTGTGCCCCACCACTTTTGTACATATAAAAACGCCACTGCCTGGCTAGGTATATGTACCTGGCTGCTAAATCTGAGGACTGTTACAGGATTTTTTGTATTATATCCTAACTGTTTTTAGTACTTTTTAATGCATGTCACATGTGTGAAACTAAGCAAATAACTATGTGATTCTCCAATGTCAAAAGTGTGAAACTAAAAATAAAATTGGCTGCAACCACTTCCAGACTTTCTTTGAACTTAATGTGCAACAAATGTCATCATCCTCATGAATGAAGTTATATGGCCCATTCTACCGAGTCAGGTTGTCCATATATATTTTGTACCGTATTTATTTACACATATAGTAAAAGAACCGTACATTTTGATATGGTATTTTCAGACTGTATTGGCCACTAGCGAAACATAGTACATACACTGTAGTAAAAAACTATTATATTAACCTGTTAAGATTGTGTTACCTTCCCTTCTCTAAATAGTATTTTAACCAATATTTGAGGATTTTCAGTAAAAGTAATATAAGCAAATGTTGAATCAAAGTTGAATTTATACAATTCATAAAAATCATAATGCAAACTTTCTTTGTGAAATGCATAATACTGATCATATTGATTCCAGAGATGAAATAGAAGGGAATGAGGCTATAATGGGTAATTTGTTTGGTATTTTGAGCAAAACACTTCATAGACATGTTTTTTATATATCTGAGACTATAATATATGCCTAACAATAGTTTGGGCTTTACCATTAAGGCCCAATGTGACATATCACAGTTCAGATATTTGACACTAGGGGGGGGTTACTTTTCATAAATGTGGTGTATTTAGTCAAAATTAGGTTTACAAGGTGAAAAGGACTTACAGCCTCCCACACACTGATATAGATATCTCACTGACTGTAATGAGGGAGAAGGAAAGAGAGTGAGGAGAGTGCTTGCGGAGTACATTGACCCTTACATGAAAGACAAGACTGTTCTTTTATTTTAATAAGGTTTTTTATTAATAACATTATTTATAAATGTGTACACAGTAAAAGGGAAAAAAATACCTTTGCTAGCTAAAAAAAAAAGGCTTAAAAAAAAAGTGATTCTCCATTTGTACAAAGTCTGGTGGAGTTAAAAATAAAAATGTTTACAGACTTCCTTTGACCAAAAAGTGCTGTGAAAAAAAAAGAAGCTCACTGCTTTACTGCTCCTCCTCATCCAGTGACCGCCTGAATGAATATGGAGGAGATTGTTGCTGTGGGGTGTGTGGTACAGAGGGGTTTAATCTTGGTGTGGCCGTGTGTGGCCTTCGGGGTGGGTATGAGGGCACCTGGAAGTGTCCATATCCACTGTTGTTAGTATGAACTTGCATGAACTGGCTCATCAGGGAAAGGCCATTCTGTACAGTCACATTAATGTTGTCCATGGTGTTGTTCATACGATCCATGCTGGCTGCGCTGCGGCTGGTTGCTTCCTCCATTAAGTCCAACATCCGGCTTTTTAATCGCAGCTCTTCCTGCACCGCATGTTCAGCTGGAAGCTTCCTCTTCATGCGGTCACTTCTGTGGCCGTCCAGCCGTGCCTATAATAAACCAGAGAAAGTTTGAATTAATACACAATAGGACCATAGCCACCAGATAACAGAACACAAAAGGCATGTTGTGAAATAGCTCTCAATACATTTTACAAATAAAACAGCTCTAAATACTTTCTAATTTTACCAAGCTTAAACCGGTTCAGTTTTTCAGTGGAAGGTACTGCATCATAGTATATAGCAAGCCCTTTAAGATTGAAATCATGAACATACCTGGAGCAGATCCCTGCGATGACTCACAACCGCAGCAGTTGGCAGAGTTCCGTTGGATCTACTCGACTCTGGCAAATCCGTGGAATGCTCCAAACTCGGGGATGAACTTGGTCCGGGCGACGACTCTTCCATGTCGAACAAGTCCCCTTGTACCTGTTTTAGTTTCGCTGTAAGCTGGCCCTGTGAAATTGTGTTCTTCTCGTGAGGGAAATCTTTTTCAGTCGGGGTCCTCGGATATTGCGCCTGAAATAAGTCGGCTATCTCCGTATATTTAGGCTTGCAGGACTCCCAGTCTACATTATCCTGTATTTTTGTCGTCTTATACTCAAGTGTTACACTTAAAAGAAGTTCCACCTCGTCGTCGGACCACGAAAATAGCTCCTTTCTTGCGCGAATAACAGCCATCTTCGTTTGTTTGTTTTGTTTGTGCCTCACACACATCCGGGGGGGATCTTATACTCGCTGCTTTTGGTGTATTTTGTGGCGGAAGTTACAGCGCCACTTACAGTCCCGCCATATGTACTACAGCTTTCGAGCGGTCTCGTGTGGAAGTACAGCGCCACTTACAGTCCCAGCATATGTACTACAGAGTTTCCAGCGGCCTCGTTTGAACAGACACGTTAAATGAAACAAATGCATGTGAACGGAAGACTTTTTTGATTACGAATACTGTGCATAAAACGCAAACGGCCTCGTGTGAGCGGGGCCTAAAACAGATAAATCCACTTCCCTGAGTCCTAGAAAATCTATCTCAATTAAAGAAAGTCCTACCCCTAAAAAGACAAGATCCACTTCTGCAAGTCCTATAAAGGGTAGCTCACCTAATGAAAGTGTTGGCTCAAAAAAGACTGACAGCATTTCTGTGCGTCCTGGGAGGATTAGTTCAACTAGAGATGGCGCTAGCAATAAAAGTTCTGAAACCACTTCTGTGGACCCAAAGAGGACTACTTTAAGTAAAACTGGCACTAGCCCTCAAATTATCTTCAAGGGGTCGCCTTCTTTCTGCCGTAGAAAATGTACCTTACCTAAAGATGCTACTACCAGTGCACAGATTCAAGGGGAAACCAATTCCTTCAGTCCTGGGTATAGAATAACTTCAGACGAGGCTAGTACTAAAGAGGTTAAGTTGAACCCTGGTTCCCCAAGTATTAGGTGGCCTAAATTGGCTAAAGGTTGTGTCAGTCCTAGAAAGACAAGGGAATCCACTCCTGCAAAAAAAAAAAGATTAAGTCCAGATGTTACTGGTCCTAAAAATAATTTAAGAGTGGTGAATGCTAAGAAGTTGGCTAAAGCAGCAAAAGCCAAAACAATGGCCAAAATGAGAAGTTCCAGTCAATCCAAGTTGCAGAATGGAGCTAAAACAAGCCAGTCAGCAGAGAACAGTGACACTCCGAAAAAAATTACAGCTAAAGCCATCTGGACTCCTCCTAGAGTATCAGCCAATAAAACACCTCCTGCTGGGGAGAAGAAAGAGACAAAATCACCCAAATCCCAGAATCAACCGCTAGTTTTCCCTCCAAGCGTTTCTCTCTTCCCTATACCTGTCAGAGGACCTACTGTTATGTCACCATTACAGCCTTTATCAGTCATTGGTAGGCGTCTGCTCAAGAACCAGTGTGGGCAGTGCGGCCGTGTCCTCAGCAGCGTTGCAGCCCTAGAAAGCCATGTTCGTCTCCACACTGGGCACCGACCCTTCTCGTGCACGCTCTGTGGGAAGGGCTTCCCAGACTCGAAATGTCTCAAACGCCATGCACGGGTTCACCGCAATGGTAGGATCCATGTCTGCCCACAGTGCGGGAAGGGCTTTGTCTATAGTTTCGGCCTCACCAAACACCTCAAGATGGTGCACAGGAGGATCAAGCCTTTTGTCTGCCAGATCTGCCAGAAAGGGTTCTTCACAAAACGAGATGTGGAAGCCCACCTACGGATGCACACTGGAGAGAAACCATTTCATTGCAACCTCTGTGAAAAGAAATTCGCAAGGAGGGTAGAACTTAATATGCATTTAAGGTGGCATAATGGAGAGAAGAGACACTGGTGTTCATACTGTGGGAAAGGATTTCTAGACTCCAATAACCTGAAAAGGCATAAGTATATTCACACAGGGGAGAAACCACATGCCTGTCCTCACTGTGATAAGAGTTTCAAGCAGTCAGGCCACCTGAAAAAGCATGTCAAAAATGTTCATAAAATCCCATGAGAGATGGACATCCAATATGCCACCCTTTTCCTCTGAGGATGTTATTGGCTGTAAGAAGGCTTCAATATCACTTCATTTAAGGAGATAAGCTCTTTTACATTCTTAACAAGAGTTAATTTGAGTTTAGTTAAAAATATTTCAACAAATAATTTCCTTTCAATTTTGCGAAAGAACAAGTGATATCATCCATACTTGCAAGCTCACATTAAAACATTGGAGCTGCATTCGAAATAACATACTTTATTCATGAATCCGCTGTACAAAGGATTGTGGCTCAGAATAGCCAGATAAGCATTGCTGCAAAAGCAACTGGATATAACATTTTTAAAAACCTTAATTGTAAGTATTCTCACAGCAGATATGTTCAAATCACTTGATGTTGTAATATCACTTGATTTAAAAAAAAAAATTATTTATTCATTTATTTGTCTTATTTTAATTGCTAGCAAACATGAAATGACGGAACTGTTACATAAGGACTGGTTTTCCATTTTCTTTGTGAACATTTTGTAAATACAGAAAAAAGGCAATTGTAAGTATTGTATCTGCTAGATTTTGATTCTTTATATTGTTTTTTTCTTTTATTGCCTTGATTTTGACGGCTGCTTTATACAAGGAGGGTTAACATTGTACTGCTTGGGCAATAATGTAACACATACGACAACAATTTCATTTCATTTCAAACCTTTTTTTATCCAGGTGTATCCCATTGAGATTATTGATCTCTTTTTCAAGGGAGACCTGCAATTACAATTGTGCTTTCACACTGGACAAGAAGCCAATGAAGCCATCCCTGAAAAAGACAATGAATGTACGGCCATGGTTATTATACAGCTCGGTATGACCACACATATTTCTCTTGAGGTGAAACGATTTATTTTTTCAAATGTTCTGTATGGTCTAAACACGCCAAAAGAGGATGTGTCCATTTCCCACAAACATCAGAGCACTGGATCACGACTTAAGCATTTATCTGTGTCCATTAGTCTAAACAAATTTTTTTCTTTCAAGTGTTTCAAACATTGTTTACGAAAAAATACAGATTTAATGTCGTATTTTTGCGGAATTCTCCTTTTTTGATTTTCTTATATTGCCATTGTGTCGCACACTGTTTTATTTTACAAGGGACAGATTTCATGTTATATCTTCTGTAAATGTATTTTTCTGCCTGCATTCAATTTTTTGAAAGTGGATACTACCCGTTGAATAACTCCCTGACAACAATGGCCAGACTTTTTTTGAGAATTCTAAACCTTTAGTTTGAATTCATTTGATTACTATGTATATTTCCTTGGTCTGTTATCTTTTCTGTCATTGAGAAAGCAGATAATAAATATAGAGGTGTCATACTAAACCGCTCCTATGCCCTTTGTCTGAATAAATGTGACTTTTTAAATCAATATGGCCGATGCATGACAATGGTATAATTTTACAGTGGGAACTTCTTTCTTTTAAATCGTTCGACTTATTTTAAAACATGTCGAATTAATAAATACTTTATCCACAATTCATTAGGTCATTTTCACTTTTCCATAGGTACAAAAGAGTAGGCCAATTTTTAATTCTTAATTTTGGCAAGGAACAAACAATACATGTGCTGTTTGTCAATACATATTAGCATAGGAAGGCTTATGGCTGAAAGTTGGCCATACAATTAAAAGTCTTAACCCTCCTGTTATCCTCAGATTTACTTTACACCCTTTCAATTTGACCCCAGTAGTTTAAAACTCAAGACAATGATCATATTCCAAATTTTAACCAAAATGTATGTCTCTGGTGCTTTAGGTATCTTAGTTGACTACCTAAATAACCATTTAAATAAAACATTACTCCAACCTTCCCCCCTACACACCCCTTTATACATCCATAATTCCTATTATGTGACTATCGAAAAATATATAAATCACCATAAAATCTCACTGACTGAAATAAAATGTTAAAGTAAGATCTTTTGATGTTGTTAAAGGACCAATAACTAAAGCAGAGGGTAGTTTTGTTTTACAATGATACATTTGCATGTAATAGTCACCTCAATATCATCCTACACGATCAACACAAATATGTGTAAGATATTGACATTTGTATATGTTTTATACTACTAAAACAGCCTGGGGTCAAATTGACCCCAAGGAACACTGATGCGTACAAAGTGCGTACAGGACATTTAAAAAAGATCTTCATGTTCATTTTATGTTTACCCATTAGTCCTCACTAAATTAGGAAAAGTCATGAAATACTAAGCAAAAACAATTATGTGAACCATTTTTTTAGATACGTTAAACATTGAATGGGGTCAAATTGACCCCAAGGATAACAGGAGGGTTAAAGAGGTTGTTTTCCTTCAAAGTCGCATGAAACACATTCTTCCAGTGAAAGTGAATTAGAATAATGAATGAACATTTTAATTAAAACATTTAATGCAGGTATTTCTCCACAATCACTTTCATTTCTACTCAAAATGTTTTATAAAATCTGTTTTTTTCCACAACAGGATGACTGTTTTGTATCATTCTTTCCCTTTTATGCCGACCAGAGAAACTCCATGTCATTTTTATTAGCCTTTTCCACTGATAAATGTTTATTACATAATGTAAAATGGGTTTTAGAATACAATTCACTGCAGTGGTTCTTACCCTTTTTTTTTAAGACTACTATTGATGAAAACATTCCCATAAATAAATTGGAAAAAAATTTATTCACATGAAAAAAACATACATATTCTGCTATCCGTCACCTATCACTTCCTGCAATTGTGAATCACCTTTTTTTTTTTTAAAACAATCAATTTTGTTAATAATCATCCTAGGGATCATTGAAATTATGCATTTGAATTTGAAATAGTTTTTATTTATATCAATTCCTAAGAACATCTGGATACAAAAATATTAAAATATATTATTAATGTACACAGATATGTTCCCAATGGTAAATGTGGTCGAATTAAAAAGGGAAATGCTTGATTGATTGATTGATTGAAAAGTTTATTAACAGCTTGTATATTGGGTACAGTACAGTACAGCTCAAAACATACAATTGTTAAGGGGATGCAGACCAGAGAAAGACTTTCTTCTTGTTTACATCAGGGTCCCCCATTTCCAATTCATCATATCATTTAAGACATATAAGACATATTAGACATACAGATGGCTCATATTTTGTATCACCATATACAATCTTTGTTCCCAAAGCTGACATGTTACAAACACGAGGATAATATTAAACCATGAAATACAACTCATTTCTGTTTTAAATGCCTAAATATTGAATTTTCAGACACATTTGTATAGCTTTATCATCCATTTTCCTAATCAATGCCCACTTTTTAATAAAGTACAATATAAAAGCACTAGATGACCATCACCGGAAGGAGGTTTATTTTAATAATTTGTACATGGTTTGCCCAGAGTACATCCGATATTAAACCTAACTTAAGCCCTTTAAAACCTTGTAACAAGGGCAGATATCAGCAAGCCCAACCACATTGTAAGAGACATGGTTAAAGCCGGAGGGCCTGCAGAACGCACAATGGAATGATAGCACTTGCCCACATTTCCAACTTTATCTACAGCCACTATCTCGACAATCTGAGAGCAGCAAGAGGCTGTGTAGTTGGCCAGAATGAAGGGATCACTCAGGGAGGTGGTGGTGATGTTTCCACTGCCCTGCCGCAGGGCCACGCTCTCTATCCCGGTACCGTTTCCGTCCGTAAGGTTGGCCGCAAGCTCCCACTGGAAAGGTTTACACTGAGAAACATCTTGAGGGCAAGCATCAGCCAGCACGCTCATCAATTTACACACAGGCTGAAAGAAATCTGTGATCTGGATAGAGAACGAAGGGGAAAAAAATGGGAAATGTATTTATGAATCACAACAAAGTGCAATTAAGATATGGAGGAGAATTGAATCTCTGAAAAAAGTCTTTGTAGCCATGTTTAAAACATTTTTTTTTATTCCTACTCTTTTCAACTGTGTATTACCTTGGTTAGAACAGAGAATCTCATAACCACGTAATTGGAGTCCACGCCGCTGTCCGACAAGGCTTCCACCGTCAGAGTGACGTCAGTGCCTGATGGAGTGTCGGCAGGTGGTTTTATAGTCAGACTAGTATTAGTATATACACCAGTTGTCAAGATGATACTGTCAAAAGAGAGAAAAACAATTTGAGAATAACACACACACACATATGATTTTGATTGAAATCAAGAACATTTCACGTTCAAAGCATTGATCATTAATTACATTTAAATAATGTGAGAAATCTATAATGATAATAGACTAGAATAATGCTCAAAATTCCAACAAGGAGGCAGTTTATTGTCAAGTGATGGATACAATCTGTAAGGTAATTGCAGAATGCAGCCCTTTTGTACCTGAGCTCATTGCTTGCGCTGCTTTATACAAGGAGGGCACAACAGACTGAGTCAATGCACACGATAAAGGCACACAGAAGTGGAGCTCAAGCACTATGATGATATGATTCATTTGGTATTTTCTCAGAATGCAGTGTGGTCGCAAAGGATTATTATGTAAGAGTGTGAGTAAGTTAAGTGTAGAGTCGTAAAACATAACATGGGAACATTTCTTAATTCGTGTAATCTACAGACCATATATCACGCACCAAAAAATCCTTTAAAAAACCATTGACTTTGTTCAAAACAGCTGACTAATTTCCAGGTTTGAGGACCTGCAACGTTATTTTGTCGGGCACAGCGCCCCCTGAGTTCTTCAGCAGCAAAACTATTCAAATGATTTTTATATAGAGACAATTGATTTAGACAAAGTACTAGAAAACTAAATCAGTTAAAGCAGGAGGACAGAAGGCGTAGCTTAAAAATAAAATAGACCTCCTTTCAAACACCCAATTTCAACGGTCATGGTCAAAGACCTCAATCATTATGGCACAAAAAACATTGTAACAAAGACATCTACAGGGCTTAAATATAAATCTAATGTCAGAAACATTATATGAAAAAAAAAGCACTCACCTGTCTGGGTGGGACATGGTGAAGCCTCTGTCATTTCTGGCATTGACGCTGTATTTGCCACCAGAGCCCTGGGTCAGGACGCTTATGGGGATCCCGAATGATTCCCCTGGCCTCACACTGCTGTCTACCACAGCCTAGAGGGAAGAAAACAGGTGAAAACAAGTGACATTAAAAAAAAGTGCTTACAGTGCGTTTAGGCCTTTATCTAACTTTGTATAAAAACATTTGCTTGTTGTATGTATACACAGGATGGTAAAATACAGACCATGATTTTGACTTTAGAGATGGACATCTGGGTGGTGGACTGCCTCTGAAATTTGCTGTTGGACACTTTGTCAGTTCCTTCCAGAGTGACAACAAACTCCCCCTCAGGGATGGCATCAACGGTCACCAGGATGTCTCCGTTGCCCATGTCCAATGTTGTGCTATTGCTAGCAGTCTCAGGGCCGGAAACAGTAACCAGGGCAACATCTCCTATGGTCATCGATGACGGACCTTTCCTACCAAGTACGGAGAGCATCAGAGTGGCCGGCTGGCCTGGTGTTTCCAGAGGAGAGAAGTGAAGAAGCAAGGTAAGGGGAAGCAAAAGTGACCTATACATATGTGTATGCAAAGATCATGAATCATTTTCCATTAACATTGGAATGTTTGTGGAGTGTGTGCTATTAGGATGTTTGATGTGCCAAACCTCACCATTCGCTGTGTGTTTAATAGGGACATGCCATCATTTGTAGGAAAAAAATGCTGATTATTGTTGAGCTCTTTTCTTTAGCACTGGTGTTTCTAGATAAGTCCATTCACTCAAGTACTGTTCTTAAATAAAATGTTTAGGTACTTGTACTTCATTAGAGTTATTCCATTTTCTTTTACAAAGTAATTTACATGGTTAAATACATAATATTTGTGTGGATTTTACCTTATTGATGCCTTACTTGGATGTACAACTAACCGGGCAGCATACAGTAAAAATAAGTCACAACATTAATCAGCCTTCGTACTATATTTTTGGTTGTCTTTCTTGGAGCATAATGAAAATGCAACATACATTTTGATGTATAAAATGACAATGAACAAATCTTGTTAAGTAATGTTCTACTATTGTATAGCTTAAAGGTGGGGTAGGTAAGTTTGAGAAACCGGCTCAAGATACACTTTTTGTTATATTCCATGGAATGCTCTTAACATCCCGATAGCAATGAATATCTTAAGTGCTTTGACAAAAAATCCATAAAAAAATGTCATCTGTGGAAGCCGTAGTACTGTAAAAAGCACGACCAATCATTTTAGCCGGCCCGGCTAAAATGACTGGATGGCCTACCTGCCTGTCAGCCTTCCATCTGTGCACAAACTTATCTCGTGCCCTCATTGGTCATGTGCGCGTTCGTGTGTGTTGGAGGAGGGGCTCTGTAAGAAAGTGGCAGATTTTTTCCGGCTGTGTATTTTCAAATTCTAGCGCACTCGAGCTGGTTTCTCCAAAATTACCTACCCCACCTTTAATGCTTGTATTTTTGTACTGTTAATCCCTTCAGTACAATTTGAATGCACAACTTGTCCTTGAGTATACGATTTGAGTGCATCTTCCACCACTGGTCTTCAGCCTAATGGATTCAAAGTAATTATAGTTTAGCTACAGGAATTTTATTTTTAGGTTTTTAGGCGTACGTTTGTATTTACATATTAAATATAGGTAACTTACTTAATTTTAAGAAAAACTGCACAAAATACATATATTTATCTCCCTTTGTAGTAATTCTTTCTGTCAGTGTTTTGTTTTTTTGCTCCTTCTCATAGTCGTGCAACTTCTTTTGGTCACTTTATAGCTGTTTTTACACTTTATAGTCGTATTATGTTTTTTTTTGTGGTTATTTTTTTTCTCTTCCTGGTTTGTACTTGCCTCTTTTAGTGACATTTTGTAAGTGAAGGCCAGAGGGCCCCTCACACTTTGGGCCCCTGGGCTTGTGCTTGCCCTTCAGTAATCCATCCATGCTTTATAGTGTACCTGCTTGTGGACGCCCACTGAGTACTGCATAACCTGGGTGAGGTCCCTCGAAACTCTCCACAAAGTTATAGATGAAGGTAATAGTACTCTGGCCTGTAAAACAAACACAGCCTTACTGTAAATGCAGATACAAGTCATAAAAACAGAAATCAGTTTAAAGAACAGCTTTTTAATAATATGTGGTGAATTATTTCAGCATCAGAAGCAAAACAGTTTGACGCGGTTTCGATGAACCGAAAAGTAGTGGTATACATTTGAAATACACTACTGAATAAAAAAAGTATTACATTCGGGTGAGTGAAACCTTCAGCTAAGATTTAATGAAAGAATAGCTCTTTATTTTAAAATATGTATTTGCTTTCTTTCCATAGGTTTAATGACTAGATTCTTGCCCAAAGTTAAACATCATGTCTGTTAAGTGAACATGAAGCTACTGCTAGTATCCATTTAGCTTAGCACAAAGGCTGGAAAGAGGGGGAAACAACAGCCTGGCCAAAGGTACTTGGAACAGCAAATTTGCAGCAAGTTAAATCTTGGTTATTTATTTAATCTGGAGAGAAAAAATGAAGTGCAGGGGGGGGTACTTGGCTATTTTTTTGGCAGGGAGCAGTGACCTCATACAATCTTGGCTGGTCGCATTGCAAGCTCAGGTTGACTTTTGTTGCAACCATTTCCCCCTCTTTCTAGCCTTGAAAATAGATATTACGGTGGTATTTATCCTTTCAACTACATTTCGGCAAAAAAAGTAGTGAACAAAAGTCACTGACCTGTGACTTTAAGTGTGTATTGCAGGTTGGAGTTGACGTTGAGCTGCCAGTTTCCTTCCAGGCTGTCGGCGTTGAGACGAATCCTCCACAGGTTGCCAACTGTTTGTAGGGTTCCCAGTTTTCCGATGGTGTCACCCTGGCTTTGGGTCACACCTGACATTTTTCAGCATAAATATGTATCATAATGAGTAAGAAAAGTGGGCACCCAAATGAGCCTCAAATATTGACACTCCTGATTTTATGCGAACAGTGCATTGTGAATGATATGTTACCTGCAGGGTTGGTCAGTGTGAAGGCAATTTGTGTTCCTGTGATGTAGATAGTGATATTTTTCAGCGATTCATCCAACATAAAGGGGAAGGTCTCCTGTTTACCAGGGTTCCTTGCACGCTGAATTACTGTTACCTGAGGAAGAGGGGGGATCAAGAAGAGCATCCTTATTTACTGCTTTATTTTTCAAACTGGTCCAACCCCTGAAGGCCCAGCTCATGCTTCTGAGAATGTACTTTTAGATCTGCCGGGTCTTACCAAAGCTGAAGTGGAGGTGTCAAGGATGACGCCTGTAGCCTGAGGTAAATCCTTCTTAGAAACATGGATGGCCTGGCCTCCGGAGGCCAAAGCTAGCTCCTTGTAGACGTCTAAGTTGGCAGCTCTTGTGAAACGACGGCGCCTCCTAAAGGGTGCAGTTAGGAAGAATGATACCTGTGGAGACCAGTTAATGTGTTGAATATAATCCCAGCATGTCACATAAAAAGACAACCTAAGGAATCCATTGGTTCAAAACATGTCATGGCAGGCTTATTGGTAAAAAGGCAAAATAATGCTCCAAAGTTAGGCCAAATTTTGGCGGCGAAAAACTGGCATTGTCATATTCACAGGGTTCCCTTGCCTTTTTACCCATAACTATTCCTTATATGCTGTTCAACTTTTATTATTATTGCACATTTTAAAGTAGTTTATTTGAATGTTTGTTGAAACTGGTCTCTTAACGGTCTTGTAATTGCAAAAATAGGGTATGACCGGAAACTTGAGACTCTTGCGCTTTCGTATAATGTTACTCCCCATGGTATTTCATTGAGACAATTTTAATTAAGACCTGACCTCACTGTTTAAAATGGCCAGCTTTCAAGATAAACACAGTCTCATCAAACTTTACAAACATACTTGAGTATTCATTTGATGTATGGCTTCCCTTGGTATATTGACAATAAGGGGGTTTCTGAAGTGCCTGCGAGTCAATCTTTGTCTATATTTTATCCATTCTCGAGTGGTCAAAAATGGTTACATTTTGCACCAAATATGACGTTATGATGTTAATGACATCCACCCATAAAAATGTTTGCAACACCATAAGATAAATGAATGAGCATATGAATGCTCATCACATACTTCCGTAATGATGTTCTAACCCCCACACAATGCTCATTACTGTTTTATAACTGGAAAAACTCAGTTATATCTAAAATGTGTTTCCATATTGAGATGATGTTTACCACTGCTATGTGGTGTAAATGTGTGTGTATTACATTTAATATGTGTTACTTTTCATGTATGGAATCTTTGGTAGGAAGGGGGGGGGGATTAACCTGTTAAGCAGAGTGAATACAAAAATAGCATCACAGGGTGTCAGTCAGTTTTTACCGTGGACTTGGTGCTCCTGATGAGAGCAATGACGGTGGCCTTGAGGTTAATGTCTTTGGCTGGGGCGTCGGTGAAAACATAGATGTAGGAGGAGGAAGGGGCACCGGTGAGAGCCAACTGGAGATACAAAACAATAACCTAGTCAGTTCATTTTGCATCAGCTCAGTCTTAAATAGTTATAAAATAATGAACAACCACTGTATTAAGACAATATCATAGTTTAAGTACCAGAAGTCCTGACAGGCACATCTCAGGGATATCATCACCTCCTTTCGCTCTAAGCTTAGAGATTTCGCTTTTCATCTTATCAGGGTCTGTTGTTCTGATCATGGGTCCAAAATCTACATGAAAAACGAAAACGAGTGGCTAAATCCATTTCTCACATTAACATAAATAACTTGTTATGGCAATATTGTGAGCCCCATAGGGGTCTTGTTAACTCACAAAAATCGGGCAACATTTTTTTTCTTTTCAGGTGAGTGCATTCCGTATAACATGACTCATGGTTACATAAACATGAACAGTGAGGTAGAAGAGTTCATACCAGGGTCGTTGAAGGGAACCAGAATGTACTCTGATGGCTCGTCCTGTGTTCCTTTTTTGCTGTCAATGATTTCATAAACAACCTCCCTAGCTGCATCAATGTCTTCAGACATACTGCCGGTGGTATCAATCACAAAGCACACGACTGCTGAACGGGCGATCCCCATCATTCTGTAAAAATAGAGAGTGAAGAAGTAAAACTCAGGTCAACCTAATCTGTCTGAACCAAGCGAAACAAATGAGGCCTGAAGGGGGCAACTTCACTAGTTGCAGAAAGAAGTCAGATTGTATGACGTCTATGAAAGAATGTCGCTACTTCTCACTTGATCTCTGTGAACATGAGTTTATAGCCTAAATTGCTAGTTTCAAGTCTTCTTGAAATCATCTTTAGGTACATTTTATAAGCTAATGTCCTATTTCAATTTATAAAAGACGATATAGCAGGGTATGGGTTGGTGCGTCGCTACCACAGTTGTGTCTGGTTGAGTGTTGTGTTTTCATCTTAGAACCCTTTCTCAGTCTTTTTTCAGATCATGAAAGTTGCAGACAATAGTCACCTAAATTGTCTTCTGTCCACTGCTGGTTCCAAAAAATGCATTAGTCAACGTAGAAAGTGCTAATACAAGGCATCAAACCCGTAATCCAGAATCCAATGGGTCACGTCAAGGTGACAACGTCTGCTTCTTATATACAGTCTATGGTTTGGGCAGTGATAATATAATGTCAAACTTTTGGGATTCAAGATAAAATAGGATTTAGATATTGACCGCATACCTCAAATAGTCATCGTTCCCGGCAGCTAAGCGGATGTCCTCCAACAGCTCGAGGCTGGCGGCTGTAGCAATAGTGACAGCAGCGTTGTGAAGGGCAACGTTGTCTGAGCGGCGCTCGTCCTTGCTGATGCCTCCGCGAGGATGTGTTGTGCTCGTCAGGTCAGCTTCCCCTCCATGGCTACATTTACCTGGCACAGAGCAAAAATAGTTGATCTGGGCCAGGGTTCAACTTGTCAACACAAACAATTCCACGTTATGTGTAAATGACTGTCTTGTACTCAAGGATGGACTGAGACTGAAAAACGGCCCCGGACTCTGACCCAGTAATTATAATGTCAATTAAGACACAATTTTTAAGCCAGAATTGGCAAAGCTGGATAGAGTTAACCAGTCTACATTGATATAGGAATGAATGTGGGGGATTCTTTCAGATTAAGCTGCCTACAGCTTCTTTATACTGTTAAAAGCTCTTTCACTTCATGAACTCTCTCAAGCGTGCAGGCAGAAACAATGATAAACCTGCAGCCTCTGAGGTGTGTCGCCAGGGCCGCAGAGCGCAGGGCCTCTTACATACTGCCAGCCACTATTTACATTCATTAGATCTGCTAAAAACTACAGCTGACAGAGATGCGCCGGTGAAGATGGCCGCATCGTCTTTGTGCTCCCCTCCAACTTTGCCCATTTTCGTATTTTGTACATATTTTTTTTACTTTTGCCGTTTTACTTTTGACATGGTTCGCAACATGCTAGCCGACCGCACCTACTCTGCCATACAATACAGCAGAGAGGAACTTCTCCAATTGCAAAACTTCGTGGACAATAATAACCCTCCGACAAACAATGGAGATTCACCATGGCTACCTGTTGCTGTTCTACCTGAGAGACGCAAGAAGAGGACAAAGCGCGGATGCCGGGCCGGGCTGCTGGTCAGACTGAGGAAACGAGAGAATCGGCCCCCTCTTCCGAGTATTCTTCTGGCTAATGTTCAATCCATTGAAAATAAGCTAGATGAACTCAGAAGCCGGATTGCTTTTCAACGGGACATTAAGAACTGTAACGTGTTAATTCTCACTGAGACTTGGCTCAACCCCGCTATCCCGGACTCCGCCATTGTCCCTGATGGATTCTCTATTTTCCGTCAGGACCGGACTGCAAACTCGGGGAAAAGTAAGGGAGGCGGTGTGTGTGTCATGACTAACAACAACTGGTGCTCAGATGTGAAGATTATTTCATCGGACTGTTCCGTAGATCTCGAGCACCTCATGATCTCATGTCGGGCCTTCCATCTGCCGAGGGAATTCACATCTGTTGTGATAACAGCAGTGTATATCCCGCCGCAGCCACTCGCCGACAACAACACGGCACTCGATCAGCTGTTTGGGATTATTGATAAAACCGAGACTTCACGGCCAGATGCGGCGTTTGTTGTGGCCGGAGATTTCAACACCGCCAACATGAAGAAGGTTTTGCCAAAATATTACCATCAGCTTCCCGACGCGCGGGGATAACATACTGGACCATGTTTATTCCCCTTTCCGGAATGGATATAAGGCTCTCCCTCGCCCTCCCTTCGGCAAATCAGACCATATCTCACTACTGTTGTTGCCTGCGTACAAGCAGAAACTTAAAAGGGACAGACCGATTACAAGAACAGTACAACGATGGAGCGAGGAGTCAGATGAGGCACTGCAGGATTGCTTTGCATCCACGGATTGGAGTGTGTTTGAGGACAACAACATCAACACACACACGGACACTGTCATCTGCTACATTGGGAAATGTATCGATGACGTGGTACCGAAGGTTTCTGTACGGACATTCCCAAATCAAAAGCCATGGGTAAACTCCGATGTGCGCTGCAAGCTGAGAGCGCGCACTATCGCGCACACAGCGGGAGATTTGGAGGAGTACAGGAAGTCTAGGTATGATCTCCGGAGAGCAATTAAAAATGCAAAGAGACAGTACAAAGAAAAGGTGGAATCTGACTTCAAAGGCTGTAACACTAGGAATATGTGGGCGGGACTAAGGACAATGACTGACTACAAAGGAGCAGCGGGGGGTGCTGCGGGAGTGTCTGCGTGCGCATCTCTCCCAGATGAGCTGAACAGTTTCTTTGCACGCTTTGAGAGCAGCCGGGCTGTGGAGGTACAGAGGGACCAGGAGCTCCACTGCCCTTTTGTTTTAAATAGGGCAGATGTGTGTAAATCCTTTAAAAGGGTTAACCCACACAAGGCTCCTGGACCTGATGGCATCCCTGGCCGTGTTCTCAGGGTGTGTGCAGTTCAGCTGGCAGAGGTGTTCACAGACATCTTCAACAGGTCCCTGCTGCAGTCTGTAGTCCCCACATGTCTTAAACACTCCACCATCGTTCCTGTCCCCAAAAAGACAATCATCACCTGCCCCAACGACTACCGCCCAGTAGCACTCACCTCCACCATAATGAAGTGCTTTGAGCGGTTAGTCAAATCATTCATCACCTCCTCCCTCCCTGACTCTCTGGACCCCCTGCAGTTTGCCTACAGAGCAAACAGGTCCACTGACGACGCCATAGCCCTCACCCTCCACACTGCCCTCTCACACCTGGACCCGAAGAACAGGAACACATATGTGAGAATGCTGTTCATTGACTACAGTTCAGCATTCAATACCATTGTGCCCTCCAAGCTGGCCATCAAGCTCAGAGACCTCGGGCTCAACAGCGCCCTCTGTGACTGGATCCTGAACTTCCTGACGGGCAGACCCCAGGCAGTGCGGGTGGGAAACATCACAGCCTCCACCCTGATTCTAAACACCGGTGCCCCTCAAGGCTGCGTGCTCAGCCCTCTCCTCTACTCCCTGTTCACCCACGACTGCGTGGCCACACACAGCTCCAACACCATCGTGAAGTTTGCTGATGACACGACCGTCATCGGCCAGATCACAGACGATGACGAGACGGCGTACAGAGAGGAGGTCGAAAACCTGACATCTTGGTGCCAGGATAACAACCTCCATCTCAACATCAGCAAAACTAAGGAGCTGATTGTGGATTACAGGAAGCAGCAGGGAGAGGGACACGCCCCCATCGCCATCAATGGGACTACGGTGGAGAGAGTCAAAAGCTTCAGGTTCCTTGGGGTCCACATCACTGAGGACCTGACATGGTCTCTTCACACCACCACCATCACCAAGAAAGCTCGACAGCGGCTCTTCTTCCTCCGCAGGTTGAGGAGGTTCAAAATGGATTCCAGGATACTCTGCAACTTCTACAGGTGCACGATAGAGAGTATCCTCACTGGCAGCATGACGGCCTGGTACGGCAGCTGCACCGACCTCGATCGTAAGGCTTTACAGAGGGTGGTGAAAACTGCACAGCACATCACCAGGACGGAGCTGCCATCCATGGAGGACCTTTACTCCCAGCGGCTCAGGAAGAAATCACTACGGATTATCAAAGACCCCCATCACCCCAGCCACAAACTGTTCTTTCTGTTGCCGTCTGGCAGACGTTACCGCAGCATCCTGGCAAGGACAAGAAGATTCGGAGACAGTTTCTTCCCGCGGGCAGTGAGACTGTTAAAAAATTGAACTGTTGAAACAACATCAAACATTCATCTGCTACTCAGTAGTATGTATCTAATACCTAATATATATATATCATTCCAATAACTTGTATATAGACTCTATTGCACTATTCCACATCATAACTTTATTTCATTTTATAACTATTATTATTTTTGTATTGCTCATGCTCTTATTGTTATTATGTTATTATGTTGCATTGTTGGAGAAGCCTGTGACATAAGATTTTCAACTACATAATTACTCTGTAACTATGTCAGATTGACAATAAAGAACCTTGAACCTTGAACCTTGAACCTTGCTGCTACAATCCCAGCTCTACACACATCGGATGTTCGGTTATTACTTCATATTCTGCGTTCGGTCAGCAGGGGGCATTACAGCCTCTTTCAAACTTGGTAAAGTAACGTTCTACTTCCGGCACAGCCGTAGTGCCTATAGACATGTGTACATGGACAACAGTGTCCATGAGCAAGTAAAGAAACGTGCCATGTGGACGGACGCTTATGTAAATATATTTTTTCTTCAGAAAAGCCCCTTTAGTTGGCGAGTATAAACCAAATGTTTGTTTAGCGCTGTCGCCTCTCAGTCTGCATCTTAAATTATGATGTTTAAAAGAAAAAAATATTGCAATGCGTGCCGGCCGTCAGCTTTCCAGGACGACCGGCTGTTATGTGAAGAACGTACCGATGGCCGCCCCTGCTTGTACTCCAGGAAGGACAAACTTGTTTTTATTTAACTTATGTTTATTTTTCCAGTTTGAGATTTTTAGGAAATACCTATTGGATTCTTTGCAGTTACATTATTAAGTATGGAGGGAAAGCCCACAGCCGGTTAGCTTAACTTAGCATTTGGACGGTAAACAGGGGTAAAACAGCTATCTCGACTGTCTAAAAGTAACCTAACACCACCAATAAAATGTGGTTTTCAAAATGTTTCAAATGTATTTAAAATTAGTTTGCGTTCCGTCATATTATCTCTGTTTCTACAATTTTTTGTGTATATAAGAAATAATGATGTCATGTAAATAAAGTTCAATTGATTTCAGGGTTTGGGTACAAGCTTCTCAATGTTACCTTGGGGCTTGTAAGGGGAGAAGATTCCCATGTAGCCTGATGTGAGTTTCTTCTCACTCAGGATGTTGGGGAGGATGGTGTTAGGACATGTTCCACTGGCACAGTCGCTGCAGGTGGGAGTGTCGATATCTACACAAGCAAATGACACATGCAATGAGTGATCATTACATTGACTTCTGCTCTATGATATAATACTGTATGCTAGAACAGTGATAGGAGAGCTATGTATGGTCATCTGATAATAATACACATCCGGCTGCCAATCACACACGAACCTGCCAGGTTATCCAGGGAAAGATCTGGCCGTATGAGGTTGATGTATGGCTTTGTGTTTCCCAACTCGACCCAGTTACTGTGGCTGTAGAAGTCCTGACAGTGGATAGAAAAACACAAATTAATATTTTGAAACACAGAAACAATTTCATATACAGGATTCTACCACCTTTAACCTAAGCGTTCTGTCCATGTCCACATCACCCTACAACTTAACATATAGGTTAAGTGAACCCAAACAGGTTTAATATTTTTTTGCTACAGTGCATACATTTCAAGTGTTGAGTCTGACCTTTTTTATCCATTTTGTGTAATCGTGAAATCTGAGATGAAAAAAGCAATATCTTCACTCAATTGTTGAGTATCTAAGTTATCTAATAACATATTCCTGATACAATATGAAACTAAACATTAGACTAAGCGGTGGTGAGTGAATGCCTTTTTGCAACACAGTGCCGCATTGACATGCTTTACAATTTGCTCTTGCAAGGTCATGGCGCAGAGCCTTGCGGTAAAACAGCTAGTTAGTTTGTTTCTTTGCTTAACGCCCCTTCTAGCTTGCGACGCTACAAACAGCTCTCATCTGATTGGTTGAGCGCTGAAATTGAATCGCTCAGCGTAGATTTTAAGCAGTGCACTACGCCAAGGGTAGCGCTTCCACCTAGCTGAGTGGCACTGCCCTCTTCATAAAAACACAGCGGCACCGTCAACCCAGAGCCGTTTTACTACGATTCATGTGAATGCAACTTTGAAAACCCCTGCATGCTTAGAAAGAGGCCCTATTATGCTTTTTAAGGGTTTTCCCTTTCCTGTTGTTTGTTATATAGGTTTTTGTATGCATGTAAATGGTCTGCAAACGCTAAAGTCCCAAAGTTCCCTGCAGAGGGAGTTTCTCTCCCATTCCTGAAAAGCCTCAATTGGCCTCCTTTGTTTACATCAAAAAGTGATTGGCAGCTAACCAATCAGAGCAGACTGGGCTCTGGTTTCAGACAGAGGGTGAAAAGAGCTGCTGCACAACAGACTGTATGAGGGAAAAAAGAGGGGAACAAACTAAATAAATTAAAGCATGTAAATATTTCTCAGTAGAAGTACAAAAAACAAACGAGCATAATATCCAGCTGCCCCCCCTCACCTGTAGTGTATGAAGGATTCTGCCCAGTGTTTCCCTGGCAGCCTTGAAGTTCTCCTTGCCAATGTTGGCCTTAATGGCTGCCATACCCTCCATAATAAGAGTACGTCCCTGCACAAAGTTCTCCGAGTTGAAGTGGTGGGGAGCACTAAAAGAGATCCAAGAGTAATAACAAAGTGAAATAGTATGCATTAGAAACATATGCACACTTTCTTAGTTGTACTGCTTTGTAACAGGTGTTTGGTTTGGATCTTTCTCTGACCTGCTGACAAAGTCACGGTCTACCAGTCCGTTCTGGGTGTAGATATCTTGAAGAGCAGAGTGAAACTTGGCCCCAGATACTTCTCCTGTTGCTCTCGGACCTAAACAGGCTTGGACCAACTCTTCAGGAGACGAACCCTGTAATCAGATGTCAAAGAGTTACAGTTACAGTATGGTGTTGTCAAAGAGGATGTCATGTTGTGATCAAACAAGACTAAGGGCCTTTATTTTCCTATGTTAACGCAAACACAGTGTGGACATTTTGTGTCCGGGAACAAGTATATTTAACATGCACAGTTGACGCTAACAGACCACAAAAATCATTTTAATTTTTTTGTTATTGTATTGGTTGCATCAAAAAGCAGTTGTAATGTGATTTGCGAAGTTCTACCAGTAATATCATCCAAATGAGATTTCCCCAAAAACGCCAATACTGATGTTCTATTGAATGTGCAATTCCCCCATGAATAGGAAACCATAAATTATTACTTTTGCCAACGAAACTCTGTGCCAATCCAGTACAAACTAAAAATCAGCCTCATGGTTGAACTATGGAACTTCGGTAGGATTCAACCTCTGGGAACAATGTTTCTATATTCAAATGTATCAAAATATCAATGACTATTAGATTGATTGCCATGACGGCAATCAATTTAATAGTCATTGATATTTTTCAGGAACAAAGTGGCGGACCAATAGTGATATAGACCTAACTATAGTCCTGCCATTTATGACAGTTAATTTTGAATTTAAAAGGGTTATCCCTAATTTGGGTTCCTAATTTAGGACTGTTCTTTGCTTCCTGAATTCTTAAGCTAAGATAAAATAGAATTGTTTTAGTATAGTTTTTTTCTAAATTATGTTTGTACTAGCAATTTGTCTAAATGTCGTGATAAACTTAGATAAGGAAGGTTTAAGACTTAGGAAAGTAATGAGGCTAAAAAAATGCCAATGGATCCTATGACTGCTGTTCTATACAAAACTACCATAAACCTCTACTCTCCTCTCCCTAGGCTTTAGTATTGTCAAATGAAGACCTTAAAAATCTGTTGGTGTATATGTGTCCCTCTCTTGCCTTTCATGTGTTATGTTTGTAATGCCCAGGGGAATGTGTTTCTCTGCTAATGTGTGTTTGTGTTGTTTGTCATCTTTCATCCTACCGTGGGTTTGAACTCGTGACCGGCAGCCTCTGCCACCACACGACATGTCTCCGTCACTTTCTGCAATAGAGCCGTTGCTGTAATGCTGACATGAGTGGAGGCCCCACCCCCGATGGAGACAAAGGCCACTGCAGACCCTGACAGGGCGAAAGTCAGCAGGGCTATCCCGAGCACTGAAGTCATGATCAATCTACAGGGAGAGAGAAAAACGATTAGATATCCACTATCTGTTTAGTTATGCAATGGGAACTTACTGTTAATTCACCTTGGGGTTATTATTCTGGACGCTTATTTTGACAAATGTATCTTGTTAGATTCGGAAAATGTTGAGTTATATGAAAAAGTTATTTTATTGTACTGAAGTGAACTTTACATGAGGAGTTTGTATGCAGAGACACGTTTAGTACACACTTAATGATGTCCTGATGGGCCGCTCCCCTCAAACAAATCATTGTAATGTATGCCTTGTCTTTTATTTGCTATTCACGTGAAGTTCTCAATGAGTAGGTAAATAGTTAACCTTAAGACATCAAAATGCAATGATTGCAGCAATTTGATTTATTTTGCCAAAAAATAAAACCTTTACAATAAAGTGTCAATACAAAACAAATTAGCAAAAGTGACGACTGCAACAGTGTGTAAGGGGCTATTTCAGGGTTTTTCTTTTTAATGAGTTGAAGGGTTGGGGTTATATTCTGAGATTGAAATGGTAACTTTTTCAAACTAAATTCAGATGAAAGTGGTAAATATAAAAGAAACAATGACAAATTAAAGAAAATAAACCTGAACATTTTTTATCTTAGATAATAGCGTAAAGAACGGCAGACATTTTTGAAAATCTGTAGGATCAAATGTGAAATAAAACTCAGCAAATTGTGTTTGAATCAGTTGAAGCTCAAATTGTAGTGCCCAAACATTTATGGTTAATGCATTGCAGATATATGCATGTTTATGTCTAGTTAATAAGGAGTATATACAAAATACATATACAAAAATTAAATAAATTGGATTATATTCACAAGAAATAAACATGCTTCCCTTGCCGTTTTTACTGCTTTCACTACATTAGGGACAACATGCATTTATTCTTTTATATGTGTTATGCTGTTATAATTATATAAACTAATACATCTGGGCTGAAGACATCTGTCACTACATAAATACACAAAATCAGGTATTTTTTACTGTATGGATTTACAGATATTCACTGAACTTTTATAGCACCTCAAGCAAGAGTATTTTTATGGCAACTTATTACTTTATAATTACAGAAAATATTCAATTTGTATTTATTTATCTCTCCATCTCTAATTGTTTTATTATTAAATGTTGACCCCACTCCCAGTGGCTTATTTCATTCATCCATCCATCTATGTTATAAACACACACATTCTTAAACATTTAAATAATTAAGTCCATTTAAATTATTTAAACATTCTTATTTCTTTAATTGAGATATATATACTGATTCTTTTGACATACTACAGACATATACAATCTAATAAAAGAGAGCGCTCATCCAAATACATCCATGTCAATTCAATCATCTAAATTAATTTAAAATACAATCATACCTCAGCTGTGATGACTCCTATCACTCTCAAAGAAATCCAACACTCAACCCCACCATCCCTATAGAGCTCATATATAGAGTACTTTGTGTACTTTGGAGGGTGGAGACTTAAACATTTTAAAAGGTGTGTGTGTGTGTGTGTGTGTGTGTGTGTGTGTGTGTGTGTGTGTGTGTGTGTGTGTGTGTGTGTGTGTGTGTGTGTGTGTGTGTGTGTGTGTGTGTGTGTGTGTGTGTGCTTATCAGCACATATCTTCCTTGTTATTATCACTCATACCAGTTCAATCTGATGTAAGGCTTTCCCTCATAAATATCTGAAAATCATTATCTAAGCCCCTTAGACAGTGGTCACACCTTGATGACTTGACTTGAAGAACTGAGTGCAGTGACGCACTGAAATCATTTATTAAAAGTTAAAGTAAAACGTTCATACAAAGGTGGGGCAAGTTAAATCATTTTTTTATCTTTCAAGCTAAAGATGGAGGATTTTAGGTTAGACTGTGAGTAAAAAAGTATACACCTGTTTCCAAAAAGTTAAAGGGGCCCTATAATGCTCATTTCCAGGGTCATATTTTAATTGTGTGCCCCTTCTGTGACATTTTCCCATGCTTTATTGTTCATAAAGGTATTTATCTGTGCTGTGCGAGTGTTACTTAGTGATGTCACTATGTCGTGGAAGTAAACAAAGGACTACAAGTATAAGGCGTTTTTCAGGTGTGTGTCGGGGGGGGGAGAGAAACTACCTCTTTTTGCCTTTGCAGACCATTTACATGCACACAAATCTATACCTCACTCTACAAAAAAAAGGAAAACCCAGAAAAGCATAATAGGGCCTATTAAAATCACTCTAGCATAGCAATTGATGACACATGAACATTGTAATTTTATGAAAAAACTAGGGCTGTCAAGTTAATAACGCGTTAACGCAAAAAAAAAATAACGCCACTAATTATGTTAACGCGATTAACGCATGTGTATTTTTTGTCCTCGGCCGCCCCGTAGTTTCAGAGCGCATCGAGTTTAAAATACCATCTACAAGCTGATGCTGACAGCCCCGCTCTTGCCGCCCGCTTGTGGCAGACCACACTTCCACGCTCACCGGCAGGCCCGGACTGGCCATCGGGAGGACCGGGAGGGTGTGTGTATGTGTGGCGCGAGCGAGGCACACCTTACGTGTTGTTGTTGTTAGCATCTGGTGCTAGCTAGCTGCGCTAACGGATATAAGGAGCTGTTTCAATGAAAACAGAGGAGCGACATTTCGCCGACAACTGCGCCGAGCACTTGACTTTATGCAGGTAGCCAGACAGTGGGACATTGTACGAAAAGTCAGCACACTCAGCACGGATAGTGCGCGCAACATGACTGCAGCGTCCAGGCAGCTCCCGTTCGAGCATATATGCCTTGAGCTGCACATAGCTCCAACGATCCATCACAGTGTCTCCACATTCACATTCACACACACACACACACACACACACACACACACACACACACACACACACACACACACACACACACACACACACACACACACACACACACACACACACACACACACACACGCATACAGGTTGAATCGAGGCGAATATTTGTAATGTTCAGAGGTTGTTGTGTTTAATATTCATGAGAATATTTGTCATTGTTCAAATTATAATAAACAAACATATAAAGCATATTTGTCTTAAAAATATCCCTCTAAGGTACATTTAGAACAGATAAAAATGTGCGATTAATTCGCGATTAATCGCGATTAACTATGGACAATCATGCGATTAATCGCGATTAAATATTTTTAATCGACTGACAGCCCTAGAAAAAACACATCCACGATTTTTTTGCCGTTATTATATGCATACCGGCCTAAAACATGGGCTGCCCGCTCTACCAGTTAAGCTTTACCTTAACATAAAGTATAGTTAAATTACTTTTATAAAACAAAATACTAACTGGATCCAATATTATTTAAAGCCTAAACATCCTCCCAATTATCAGGAAAACTCAGGGAGTGTTTTACTGGAAGGCGTGTTTCCTTACAACATTCTAGGAAGGCGCCGATAGTGCCCTAAAGAATCCCCTGACATGTAAAGAAACCAGGTGACAAACTGATCCTCATTCCACATCTACAGGTCCAAAGTGCAGGGGGCATATAACTATGCTTGTTTATTTTGACACTCCTTACGGCACACACGCGGTTTGATTGGCTAGCGCTTGAACTGTCAGATTTGCATACACAGGATTTGATTGGCTGACGCTTCCACCTCAGCTTCAAAAGTTGAACATTGCTCAACTTTGAATTCTGAAAATCCTGAAAATCTCCGCTCTGCTGCCCACAATGCAGTTCGGCGAAAAGTGAGGCAAAGTGACGTCACCCCATTCAAAGTGAATGGGCAGAAGCGTTCCAAGATTTTTTAACGCTGCTGTGTGGACGGTCCGTTAGTGAGTGAGTGTGTGTGAGAGAGAGAGAGAGAGAGTTAGTGAGTGAGTGTGTGTGTGTGAGAGAGAGAGAGAGAGTTAGTGAGTGAATGTGTGTGAGAGAGAGAGAGAGAGAGAGAAAGAGAAAGAGTGAGTGAGTGATTGTGTGTGTGAGAGAGAGAGAGAGAGAGAGAGAGAGAGAGAGTTAGAGAGAGAATGTGTGTTTGTAAGACAATCCCTCAAATCACTGGATCTTACCTTTTAGAAGTGTTTCTGCCCTTTTCTTTGCAAAGTCTGTGATAAGTTCATTAAAATCCTAACATTGCCTGCTAGCTCAACAACATCCTCAGGCTCCGTGACCGTCACTGTTCCTTGTGGTTGCTGGCCTAATTCGTCACTTTTAGCTTTTTTTAAAAAGCTATTTATTGTTGGGAAAGTTTTTAATGCAGCCGCCACTCTCTCTTCCTTTTCTTTCTTTTTCTTTCTTTACGCTGCCCCGCTGGGTGTTTGGCTGCTACCGACCGGCACCATCCATCTTTTAGCTCACGTGACACAATGTCAATGTGACATGAGTGAAGGTGGGGTTCTGATTCGGCTATAGACCGCCACCGCGTAGTAATGAAGTTGAGCGCATACATAGTGAGACCTACAGTACAGAGACGGTTTCGAAAATATATTAATTTGACCCTATAGGAAAGCCGAGTTATTTATTGCGGCAGAGAGTGAGTTTCATTTAAAACAATTTATGATGAGTGAGGTTGTGCCAACAAAAATAAATAAATATATATATATATATGTCTTCCTCTTGTCAATGAGGGCCCTCTCTTGCTCAAGGGCTCCTGGGCACGTGCCCAGTGTGCCCATATGGTTAATCCGGCCTTGGTTCTTACCCCACAGGCACACATTTCATTTAAGAAAAATTGTTCTAATGGAATATTGATTCGAAATATTGGATGTCAGTGTGATGTCAGTGTATTTCTGCTGTTGACGTAATGCATCATCATGGCAACTGCAGCCCAGTGAGGTGTCAGTTGAAATAGTTCAAACAAGTCCAGTCTTGAAATGAACATCAGCTATGTAGGACAGACAATGACTTATCACAGGAATCATATTTCAGCCTCTGTTAGTCCCTGAGATCCCCGATGCCTCACTATTTCCAACATACCTGTCTGAATTGAAATTCTAGTCAAATTTGCGACCA